TTCTTTTTCTTGGAGCATCACCTGCTGGAAATCGGGTCCAGCGTCCCTGTACAATGATATGAAAACATAGCAAACATGAAGATAGGCCACGTCACCCACGTGGCCATCCCAACAGACACCGCTCGTGAATATATCTATCATCTGTGCAGAGGCTTTGATTGCTCCCCCATACCAGAGGAGGATTAACCTGCTGCAATGTTAATCCTAATATGTCGCAAATCACATCTCAATTCATTTTTAGTGTAGGGGGCAACAGCCCACAGTCTTATGTCGTCCTTAACCATCAACCACAAACCTATCTAGCTAGCCTCTCTAATGCATGGCAATCATACTCAGGAACCACAGGCCAGCAATCCCCTTATACCATTAGTCAACAGCTAACCCACCCCTATCCGAAGGCCAACAAAAGACTGGAAATGCAAAGGAAAACCCCCTGCCACTAGGGGGGGGAATCGAAGAAGTATCGTCGTTGTTGTCATTACTGTTTTATATGTCATCATCATTGTTGATGTTGTCGGTGTCATTGTTGTCATCATCACCTCTGCTGCCACCGCTGACACCATTGGCATAAGTATTGTCGTTGTTGTCGTTATTGTCGCGTGTTTCACATGTGTCATCGTTGTTGTGGTTGTTATCGAAGTCTTTGTTGTCACCATCGCCGCCACTGCCCCTGTCGACACCTTTGCTGATGTAGCTTGTATCCTTGGTATCGCGTGTGCCGGCGTTGTTGTCATTGTTGTTGGTGTCGTTGTTGTCGGCGTCACCGCCGCAGATGTATGTATAGTCAACGAAACGGTCGCCGGTGTCGTTGTTGCAGGCGATGTCATCATAAAAGCCTGCGCCATGATCGCACCGTACAGATTCTGCCCCTCCCAAAACATCGCATAACACCGCTGCATGAGGGTTTTTGCTTGGCGCCAATCAAGGAGGTCTTCCAGCCGGGGATCCAGCCATTCCTCCAGTTCCCAAATGACCTCCAACATGTCCTGCATGGAGTTTTCCGTCCAGGTCAGCAACGCCGTCGCGCCCCCTTCGACCGCGCGCCAATCCCTTCCCTTCGCTGACATAGCCTCCACAATCCCTCGCAATCGCACACCGCCCTCCTGAATGGTGAATAACCAGTCGTCCGCATCGTGTTGTAGTTGTGCCACTGAGGCCATCGCCCCCACTTGTAAGCAAAGCGCCGCCATATATCTTATTACGCACCAAACACCCACGTGCCGTCTTCTAATCTGCCAGGTGAATCATACACCGTCGTTCGGTCAAAGCAACCTAACGGGCAGTTAGGATGACCAAGAGCAGCGATGGTCGCCGCTGCCCTAGTCTCCAGAGTGCAGCCGGGCCTCGCCGGCTGGTCTGTAGCGCAAGTTAGCGCTCGGTGCTCGGCGCAGGAGAAAGCCCCCTTTTTTATGGGGTAACTACGGCGGTCACAAAAACAGTTTGAAATTGCACGGGCTGGTCATCCTCTTAGTATGTGGTCGAAGGATTGAGGCTGGCAGAGCAGTTCCTTAGTACGGGATGTCGGCAGGGTTCCCATTGCACTTCGGGATTCTTACCGCGAGACTGGAACGGGCTCCAGGGACATACGAGGGAACGGAGGATACCCAACTCTCTATCGTCGCCACACAACTAAGCTAGATGGGAGTCATTGTGCACCCTCATGAAGACCTGTAGTAGCATGTTCATGCCTAGCTCCCGAAGTCCCCGTGCAATCAGGCTTGCACGGCGTCTGCTTCAACCGGGGCTGAGCAGGGGCCAGGAGTCTCTGCTTAGCCCCGGTACCTGCGACTGCTATCTGGTCAGGTCACCCTGCCAAGATGGCAATGGGTGATGGTCCTGGGTAGTTAACACTAGGGTAGGATAAGGGGGGGTGGGGGTGCACCAGGGCAAAAAGATGAGAGGAAGGGTGGGTGGGGTCTTCAGAGGGGTTCATCTGGACAACCGAGTGGCCGAGTACTGTGGGTGACTGCCATCTGTCTAGTATCCCACCTCTACAACAACCTGGGCTTCTTAAAAAAAAAAAGAAAAAGAAAACAAAAATGCAGACCCCGCGGTAAACAGAGGATCCGAAGGGCAATAGGCCCCTGCTCTCACCTGTAAAACTAACTGAACCGTTGCAGCTGTTTGAATGCAATTATGATGTTGGTATAAAGAATGAACCCAATCTGCTCCGAATCTTGAAATGCCTGCCGTGGCAAGAAACAAGAAGCGAACTATGATTTGAAACAACACTGGTGGAAGATGGATGAAAGCCTGGTGTCTGGTCATCCTCTTGTTTGGTTTTACTTTACTGACAGTCAATCCTCCACGATGCTGGAGTAAATAGGAACCGGACTGACAGAAGCGTGAGTGTGTTTTTTGATGATGTAGCATTTTTTTTTTTTTTAACTTCGTATATGGGGAACCTACTTAACGAGGTGATAAGAGCATCCCCGTTAAGTAGGCCCCGGCGTTGAAGGCTCCATCTATTGGTGGGGAGCTACAACTGCTGGAAATCGGGTCCAGCGTCCCTTTACAGTGATGAAATGTATCTGCTGGAAATCAGGTCCAGCGTCCTTATGCAATGGTGTGAATGTATGTGCCGGAACACAGGTCCAGCGTCCCTATCCATGTAAACTACAGAATCTCAACAACAATCTGAGGCATCAATCAAATCAGTCGAAACCCTAGCCATGATGAGATGTGTACTACCGATGCTATGATTTATATCTGCTGGAAATCAGGTTCAGCGCCCCATATCGTGTTGTGTAACTATGTAGACTATGGAATCTCTGCAACAATCTGAGGGATCAATACCTTCAGTCGAAACCCTAACCATGATATGATGTGTTCTACCAATGATGTGATTTATATCTGCTGGAACTCGGGTCCAGCGTCCCCATGTCGTGTCTTGTAACTATGTCCCAACAGTCAGAAACTGTCTATATGTGTCCTTAATATATACCTATCAAAGTGCAATCACGAAACTCCAAGCAGGATATGATGTGTTCGTCCTCCTGCAATCCAACCCCTAAAATGCCCACCACCAATCCCCCGAGGCGATCACCACCCCAGTCTTGATTGGTATTGCGGGCCGGACAACACCAATCATCACTGACTAACCTACTCCTATCCTCTGGCAGACGACGAGAAGCAACTCCATATTGAGGCTGCAAAATATAACAAGGAGGAAGTCAGAAAACCAGTTTCCCGTGTCCACCCCCATTCCAACTGCGTCTGCCGGCAACATCTTACCCATCATTCTGCTGCCATGGACGTCACCCCCTCCGCCGTCAATGTTTTTGTTGTTGTTGTTGTTGTTGTTGTTGTTGTAGTTGATGTTGTTGTTGTTGTTGTTGTTGTTGTTGTTGTTGTTGTTGTTGTTGTTGTTGTTGTCGTCGTTGTTGTTGTTGTCGTCTCCACTATCATCTGCATCCATCTGCTGTATCACTCCCCTCATGCGGCAGCAGTGGATGCCGCCTCCCCCATCATCATCGTTGTTGTTGTTGTCGTTGTTGTTATTGATGTTGTTGTTGTTTTTGTTGTCACCACCTTTATCATCCATGTCCATCTGCAGCATCACACCCTTCATGCTGCTGCCGTGGACGTCGCCCCCGCCCTCGTCACCGCCGTTGTTGTTGTTGTTGTTGTTGTTGTTGTCGTCGCTGTTGTTCACGTAATGTTGCTGTCATCCTTCCCACCGCCTTCGCCCATTTCGCCCAATCCCAATCCCTGCGCACCATTGTTTTTGTTAAGTTGCTGTAGTTGATATTGTTGTTGTTGTTGTTGTTGTTGTTGTTGTTGTTGTTGTTGTTGTTGCTGTTGTTGTTGTTGTTGTTGTTGACGTCTCCATTATATTCCGCGTCCACCTACAGTATCACTCCCATCTTGGTGCAGCCTTGGACATCGCCCCCCCCCATCATTGTTGTTGTTGACACCATCCCCATCCTTGATGTCGCTGTAGCTAATGTTGTTGCTGTTATTTGTGTTTTCGCCGCAATCATCTTCACTTGCCAGCAATCCATACCGATACTCCAACTGATTGCGTAGATCTCGCCCCAATGTGAAGAGGGTCCTGCAAGCAGCCAACCTGTCATCCGCCCGCCTCGAGTCGATGTAGACATCGAGCTGGGGATACAGCCCCTCCTCCAGCTCCCACAAGATGTCTAACAACTCTTGAATCCTATCTTCCAACCACTGGTCCATCGAGATCGCTCCCCCATCGATCTCCCCCCCTTCTTGCTGTCGCTGCATAAGCAACCCCACTATCGTTTGCATCTGCTTGCATCCCTCCTCTAGTGTGGTAATCCATTCTTCTGCTGGATATTGTAGCTCCCCTTCCAAATCCATCTCTCCCCCCATTGGCTGCGTCACTCACACAGTTTCACTGAACCCCTTGTAATCCCACGGTTGGCGCTACCCCTGCTGACGTGTCACGGGACGTCAGTGTCACCAAACAACAGGCGCCACATAGCCACAAGCCACGTCACACCTATCGGGCACGTGCACAGGCCCAGCAGTCGGGGAGCTGTTCTCCCCAGGCACTAGTCGAGTCGGGGTGACCGAACCCTACCGGTCCGCCGGCGTCGGGGCGGTAGCGCTAGTGCAGCTTCCGCCGTCCACTCCCCGCTCTTCCACCTGCCGGAGTTATCCTTTTTTTTTTTTTTTTTTTTTTTAAGAAAATGCTTCATCTATTGGTGGGGAGCTTCACCTGCTGGAAATCGTGTCCAGCGTCCCACTGAAAATACAAAAGAATACATAGATATCCGAAAACGTGAGATTGGAAAAAAAGGTCATTTGGCCACCGCCTTTGGAAAAAACCTCTTCCACTTTTTTGACTCAGGGAAAAGACACTGCCTCTTCACCCTTTTCTCAGGGCGCCAGATATACCTACTAGCATAAGCTGTGATATCTGATGAGAATTCCTCCTATATTCCATACCAGGAGATAGGAACAAGGGCTGACGTTGGGGAGGGGAAGGGATCTGAGAATTCTGATAGAGGGCGCATAGGCACTGCAGCGTCAATAGTCGTCCAGTCACCAAATTCCAATTTGTAATCCTTTTTAATCTCAACATCATCATCACCCATTGCCCCACTCCATATGACTTTTCCCAATCTCCCTCCCTGGTTTCCGCCGGCCAGTTACGACTGAATTTTTGAAAATGTGATTGGATTTCTGATTTTTTGCATGAAAATTGAACTTTTTCCTTTGTTTGAGCCCATTTTGTTAGGATGTATGTTTCAATTTGTTGTTTCATAGCCTCTGTGAAGTCTAGCCCATCTAGCCTAGCTCCTTCCCATTTGTAAGTACATCTTCTCATCCAGATGGCCCACATTACAGCTCTTCGCCCTATACCAAAATAATTGACTATAAATTCCTCCTGATTTTCCATTGATTTTAGCTTGGGGATCCATGTCTCTAGAAGAATAACTTTCCACCCCCATGGCCATGGAACCTGTGAGACTAGTTGTGACCAGATGCGGTCCCACCACCTCCATAGCCAGATGGAGCTCGGACATTGCATAAAGATGTATTCTATAGTTTCAGGAATTGTTCTGCTCGGAAAGGCTGATCTGCAAAATTTACACCATATTGATGCTATTCCTTTCTCTTCTAGACAGAATCTGTCAATTAGCCAGTCATTTGTTGGGAGACACCTGTGCTCGATTTGCCATTGAAGGGAAGCAATTTTGGATGGTTTATTTTTGATTGTTTTAAACCACTTGACCGACCTCAGATCTTCTTTACTTATATTGAGGTGTTTCATCCATCTGGCTGATATTTTGTCTTTTAAATTGATTTTCAAACGCACCATTCGATAAGCTCATTTGATTTTCAGCAAATGAATAGATCTCTTGTATGATCTATTATGTCTACCTACTCTTATTTCTGAACTCCATACCCAATTGGTCGGGTCTAGAGGTAGTTTAGAAATAGGGCAGTCTGGTTTGAAGGCTAGCCAATAATCTTTACTCTTGATTACTCTTATTTTGAAAATCTGGTGGGCTTAGACCCATCGAGTTTCCCCTTGACTCATCAGAACGACGACATTGTTAGATGACAAGGAAAAAAATTGTAGGAGAAAATCCCCGATTTGGCCACGATCAAGAATCATGCCAATTGACTGGGGTTGAAACTTGAATGTTACCCAGTCATTTATCATTAAATTAGGGCCTCCTCTGAGAATACGTATCCATTCAAGAGGGATGAGATCTATTATCTTTCTAGTGATTCCGCCGAATGGTGACAATATCGTAGTCGCCTCCGTAAATTAGATGGGTCTATCCAATCATTGGTGTTCATATCTAGGTTACCAATGGTCCGGAGACCGGACGTCTCCCTCGGACGTCAGGTACCCCCGTCGTTCGGGTTTCCGGACGACGGTTTTTTGACACTAAAATAAAAAAAATAAAAAATAAATAAAAAATCACAGTGTTGCGCATGCCCTAGAGACCCACCACAAAAAGTTTCAGATTTTTCTGAGCATTCGGTGATAGGGTGGATGGGGGGGGGGAGGGGTACGGTGGGTTTTGGTGGGGATAGGAGGGGTATAGCTGGGGATTAAAATTTTTGAAGATTTTTATTATTTATTCTACTGGCCTAAATGATCCAAAAATTTGGTGGCATGCACCTAATGCAAGGTGGAAGCCACATGATTTTATATATATATATATATATATTTTTTTTGGGTGCTAGATCGGACATACCCTGTCCGATCCTACGTCCGACCAAACGTCCGGTTGGACATCCCGGACGGTCAGGGGGGTCCCGGACGTCCGATCCAACAACCTAGGTTCATATCCCATATATCATTAATCCTCATTATTCCATTATTGATCCATCATTTCCAAGGAGAGTGCATACAGTGGAGAACATATCCTTGGGAGTCGTGAATCCACCTATTATCGAATAAAGGTTGTTGACAGACTTCCTCCCACCTTTCTGGCGAGAGTTTGTCTGTTAGGGGGAGTTTCCTCCAGGTTTTCAACATGGACGCCTAAAATTGATCATTTTTCAAACCTTGTCTCACAGTCTGCTTATTGGAAATTGTGGATGTTATTACAGGCTTGGAAATCCCCCTTGGGATTGTCCAAGATCGATTTTCCAACCATGTCAGAGGGTCAATTTCCTCAAACGTGGAGGGGGCTAGGCGCTTGATTTGCTCCAAGGACAAAGGGGCCCATGGGGTTTAGGGGTTAAATAATAAGCATTGAATCCATTGGATTGAAAGTGTCTTGGATTGGGTTAGAGGATCCAGAACTCCTACCCCCCCCCCCCCCCCCTACTTTTGGTTGAATAATAGACTGTCATGCTATCTTGCTGATAACACTATTGTATTCATGATTGTCTCTCCATAAAAAGACAGTTAATTGTCGTTGAAGAGATTTGAGGGAAACTTTATCCAAAGCCCAGATCGCTGACTTATACAAAATATAGCTAGTATTACATTGTTAATTATCATTGATCGGCCAAAAATTGAGGTGTGTTAGTTCTTCCACATTTCCAATTTGGACTGAGCTGGTTGGGAGATTCATTCATTACGAGTCTTTGGTTTACCTTTGGCTGATAATGAGATCCCTAGCACTTTGATGGGGGTATCTAGGGAATGTCACTTTATCATGGGTAGTTTTGGTGGCCTCCCTCTTTGGTGATGTATCCACCATCCAGTTGTTTTGCTTCCCCAGTTAACTTTCATATTTGAGAGGCAACAAAATTTGTCCATCATTTTTTAAATGTCTGCCATGTTTTCATCGGTAGCATCAATCGTAACGGATGTGTTATCCGCGAAAAAAGAACAAACTGGAATTGTCTCTTCGGGGATGCTAATGACCGTTATGCGACAAATATTTTTGTGTTGTCTCAAATTTGCCGTTAGTGTCTCCATGATAATGACAAAAAGAAAAGGTGCCAAGGGATCCCCTTGTCTGACTGATCTTTCTAGTGGGATGGGGGGGGACACATTGCTATTGACCATAACCCTTGTTGTGGCATTTTGGTGCAAAATTTTCACCCATCTTTTAAAATTGGGACCAAAGTTAAAATTTTCCAAACATTTATCTAAAAAAAATTAATCCACATGATCATATGTCTTTTCAAAATCTATGAAGATAAAGGCAGCATTATGTTTGGACTGACGAGAGATTTTAAGAAGTTCATTTACCAGAAGGATATTATCCTGAATGTTTCTTCCATTTATGAACCCCGTTTGAGATTGATGAATAATTTTTGGAATTATAGTGGATATATGATCTGCTAGTGCTTTAGTTATTAGCTTATAAACCACTGTGAGAAGGGTTATTGGGCGATAATTTCTTATATTCGCCTTATCCCCTTTCTTGTACAGAAGTGTAAGTACTCCTTGTCCAACAAATTCCCTTATTTCTCCCGAGGCCCATACTGCGTGATAATAATCCATCAAATCCTTTGAGATATAAAACCATACAGCTTCCCAAAATTCTTTAGGAAGGCCATCGATGCTCGAAGACTTATCTTCCTCCATTAGTGAGAGATTTTTCCATATTTCCTCCTTTGCTAAAGGTTTCTCCATCATTTCCTTTTGCTACTCTAATAGTGTTTTATCTATAGGACGAAAAAAATCTTCTATTTTCATAGTGTGTTGCTCTTTAGGGATGTGTCTATTTTGTGAAGTAAAAAGTGATTTAAAAAAAATTCTAGCTATTTTAGTACACGTTGTCGTCGAGGTGACTAAATTCTTATTGTGATCCACCGGGTCTTTTAAAGCTTCAATGATAGTTCTTCCTGTTCTTGCTTTGGCTATGACAAAGAAATGTGCATCCATTGTTCCTTCCATATTTTGGACTATGAGTTTACCCCTAATTCTTAGTCCTTGCCATCGATATTTCATTTAAGTCATTAACCGAGTTTCTAAAAGTTGTAGCTCTTGGGCTATTGGTTCTAGGGTTTTTTGCTCTTCTGAGTCTGTCTCTTGGTTTTGCAACTCATGAATTTTATTGGAGATGAGAGTTTCTTTAGCATGTTTTTGTTTTGCCAATAATCTAGAATATTCATTACATTTACGGCCTAGAAAAGCAAGACCGTTGTTGAACCATTTAATGTCATCTTTGAAGCGATCTCTTTGTTCTCTCCAAAAATTTCACACATCTCAAAGATAGTTGAGAAAACAGTCCATCTTGAGGAGGGATGTGTTTAGATGATAGAATAATTTCCCTTGATCTGGTTTCTTCCTGAAGGACAACATTGCCACACACATAGCATGATCCAGACCTGGAAATAACTTTTTGGGAAAATCTTTGCTAGTTGGAGAGCGCCTTATAGTTCTTCGGCCATCAGAATCATATCAATACGATATTTTGAACTATGATTGGCGGTACCTTTTTTGAAGCAGGTGAATGTTTTGAGCGTTGGATTTAACCTTCTATAAGA